AGCCGCTTTCTTTGCCTCGCTCGCTTCCCCCGCCCCCCGACCACACCCCCTTAAAGGGCCAGTCCCGCTGCCGGGGTTAGGGGAGGGTCTACTCGTCAGGGGTTTGGGCCTGGCTGTCCGCTATCCCTATTAACTTTCCTGCCTCAAACCCAGATGTTCTCAGCGCCAGGTACCAGGATTTGCGCTCCTGCCGGGACCCTAGTTTTTTGTCTTCACTGAAGCAAAAACAGGAGCCATCTGGAAAAGGAAGGGAGTGGGCACTGAGTGCAGGGCGGGTGTCCAGCGAGGAGACGGGGGAGCCCCCAACGTCTAGGTCCTCCAGCCCTTAGCCAGCGGGGGGCGAGCAGGTTTATCCGCGCGGACTGACACGTGGACCGGGCTCCCAAGGGTGGGGGAGTGGAGAAAGAGGGCAGGCGCTGCCCAGGTGCCCGGACGCCCGACCCAGTCTCCGGCCCCCGTGATGGAGGCCAAGATTGGGGCTTAGAGAACCGATCCGGCGGCCTGAAGGGCCAAACCCCAGACAGCCACCGCCCACCGGCCAAGGTGGCGGCGGTGAACGGAGTTCTGGGAAATGTAGTTCGCGAGGTCCGGCCCCACATGGCCACCCCTTCCAGGCAATGGAGCTGGGGCGGAGAAGCACAGAACTTGTTTGGGGCGCCGTGGTAGGGCTGGCCTCCACAGGGCGGGGCCCTCGGTAACCTGCAACGTCTGTGTGTACAAACGAGGAGACCCAAGCATAAAGAGCTGGGAAATGGGGGAGCCGGTACTTGTGACAATAGAGATAAAATAACTGATCCCAAATAAACGTTTTCTGTTCCACACAGTCGGTCCAGGATGAGGGCACCTCACTCTCCCACAGACCTTGGTCCTGAGGCTCCTCTGTCTTTCAGATGTCACAGGCACTTTACCTTCCTTACCTCTTTTAAGCAGACCGCATCTCAGTACCATACCCCGTTTGATTTTCTGTATCTTTAAAGAGTCTCTCATTTATTTGTTTTTTGTCTACCACTTGTAGACTGTGAGCTTCATGAGGCGGAGACGCGTCTGGCCTTTGTTTATTGCTGATGCTGTCCATTGACTGGGCTTCAAACCCATGTGTATCTAGCAAATTACCTGATTCTTGCTGAACTCTCAGTACCTATGTCGGATTCATAGTAGATGCTTGATAAATATTGGTTTGAACAAATGACTGAGTGAAAGAATGAATGGCTTTTTTTGTGTCTCCATTTCCTTATGAGGTTGTGGCAAAGATTAAGTAGGAAAATGCAGGGAAGTTTCGATGACTGGGTCACAGAAGTTCATTAAGTCACACAGCTAGACAGAGATGCAGCTCAGCTTGTGAACCCAGGCCCTTGAAACAAAGTCTCTACTCATCCCCTACCTCCCCTTAGATACCACCTGACAAGGCTGTACAGCTCTTCTGGGATGAGGCTCACCCCCTGAAGTCCCAAGCAGAGTCCCAGGAACTAAGAAGCAGTAAGTGTTTCCGTCTAGCCCTTCATAGACACCCTCTTTCTGGATGCCTGGGAAGCTCTCTGCAACAGGTGAGGTTCAGAGAGAGGTTGAAACTGGTCCAGGGTCACACAGCTGGTCCTGTAGCCAAACTCGAACCTAGCACTTTAGGCTTATCCTGTAGTTGGAGAGAAGAGAGGCAGAGAGGCTGCTGGGAATGATGGAGGGAGGTGCAGAGGGGCTCGAGGTGCTTGGTAAGGCGCCTGAGTTGGGGACAGGCTCACCGTGCTCAGCCTGGGGCAGGTAGAGTGTGAACTGATGCTTCCTCCCTCCCTCAGCTTTTTTCTGTCCTTAGCCTCCCTTCAGCCAGCCTGGGGGGCCAGGGAAGGGCTAACTGACCCTTGCTCTTATAGATTAGGTAGGACACTCCCTTTCTACCAGGAGCCAGATTCCCGGCCTAGCCTCTGGCTTTGACCTGGCCTGTTGGAAGGAATGATTGACCCAAGTCCAAATTCCCCACCATACCCTAAGTCACCCCACCAAAGGTCTGCTCTTTCTGAACCTGATGATTGAATTGGCCTTTGGAGGTGCTCATGGTTAAGAGGAGGGATATACCATAGCTTGCCATGGGAGTGGGGCCCGCAGGCCATGGAGACCTGAGTACCAGCCCCAGCTCTGGCCCCCAGATACTGTGACTCAGAATGTAAACTCCCTGTCCCTCCTCCCTTCAGGGCTGGTGTGAAGGCCTCCTGTGTGTCAATATTTCATGGGGGTACCTCCTGGGGGTTCTCTGGGCAGGACAGGGAAGAGCTGGGATGTTCTTCCTGTCTCTCCTCTCTCCACCTCCTATGTCATCCCCAGGGCACTCCCAGATTCTTGAGGCTGACTCCCCTGACATCCAATCCCTTCCTATGGCCACCCACCCTGAGAAGAGTTAGTGCAGATGGCTATGCTGGCCTGCAGCCTTCATGGAGGCTGGGCTGCCCTGCACAGAACCTCTGAGTGTAAGAGCTAGCTAGGTTCACATCCTGGCTCTGCACAGTAGGGTGTGAGGCCTCAGACAAGTAACTTTACTGCCTTGTGCCTCTTCAAGGGGGCTGATTCTACTGACCTCCAGTGGTTGGGAGCTGAGGGCTCAGTACTCAGTGTCCACATGCCAGCCCTTGATTTCCTGCCTGAACCACCCTGATACTGGAGTGCGCTGCCATGGCTGCTTCTCATCCTTCCAGCCTCAGGCTATGTCTTCCTCAGCCCCGTCCCTGCTGGGGTCCTGGCCAGACTCCATCAGAGTGCAGCTAAGGATGCTTTCAGCGCCTCCTTGAAGCAGAGGCTCTGGGGATGGTCCTGTGAGCCATGACCACTCCCTTAATCGAGGGTAGAGGCCGGAAAGGCAGCCTTCCTTCCACCATTACTGCTTGCCGAGAAACCCTATTACCATTATCAAGGCTGGAAGAAAGTGTCCAAGGAGAAAGGAACCCTTTAATAGGGGCTGTCCTGGCCTCTGGAGACATAGGATTGGAGGAGAGGCTCAGGCCCAGGAAACAGCCTCCCATCCTGTTTTCGAAGGAGCTGCTGCCCAGGGCTTCTATGGAGTACACCTGTCCAAAGCCTCAGGTCCACAGGTCAGACCCCTAATCTCAGGCCTGGCTCCAGGCCCTGCTAGCCCTGGCACTGGCTAGTAGGCTTCCTGCCCTAGAACTGATCTGCCCTTTCTTCCTTCTTCCCTAATGCTCCTACAGCCTGCTAGCTATTCCTCAGATGTCCAGCTACCTGTAGCCCAGGGTCATCTGGTACTCACTTGCTTATTTCATCCTCCAACAACCTCCAGCTTCTGAACAAGGTGACTGAAGCATAGAGAGACTAGGTTCTATGGGAGCAGAGGCCACCTTCCACCCCGCATGGCTCTACCCAAGGGAACCTGGTGATCTCTGAGGAATACAGCTCTGCTGCTCTGCTGAGAGAAGACGAGGGTGACAAGTCCTGTTCCCCTTTCTCTCCTCAAGGGCAAGGAGTGGAGGCGACACTAGCCAGGCTTTAAGTCAGAGGGCTGAAATCCTCCTACAGATCTATGTGACCTTGGGCAAGTCTCTTTCTCTCTCTGGGCCTGTGGAGATAATAATCATACCCCACAGGGCCTGGGCCAAAGACAGAGAGATTCCTTGGGTTAAAGTTGGCACCCAACATGGCAGGAATTGTGAGGATGGTCAATACCAGGCAGGGCTCCCCTCGGGGGTCTGAGAGCCTGGGGCAGAGGCCTGCAGGCCAAGCTCCTCCTTGACTGATCCCTCCTCCCCCAGAACAAGCTCCCTCTCTTTCTGGGTTTCTAGGTGACTTGGCTGGCCCCTCTGGATGAGTTCTACTTTAAACTTGCTGCTGCCACTGCCTCTGTATTGGGGGGGCTCCCACAGGGGCCCCCAGGCAGGAGCCCCCCCAGCCAAGCCCTGCGGGAGGGGCTATAGCCCCCACCCATCCCAGGGCCCAGGTACCTTCCCCCTCCCATTGCTGAAACGCAGATTTCAGGGCACCTGCTGTGGGCCAGGCATTGCAGAGCACCTTCTCAACCCCGCTGTTCCTGGACACACCCGAGGTTTCTGACCCCTCTGGACAAACGACCAGCTGTCCCCTCCGTAGTTTTCAGTCAGGACTGCCCCCCCAGGGACAGGCTCCAGGTTGGGTCATGGGGGTCTGTAGCCCCAGAATGAGGCTGCTCCTGGGCTCGCTCTGAAAGGCCAGGATGCTTGGGTCCTCCAAGGAGGCGGCAGGCGCCCGGTCTCCGCGGGCTAGGGACGGGGGAGGGGCGTCTGCCGGCGGGAGGCCCATTAGCTGGCTAAGTGCTCCCAGGGAGGGGGGACTGCGTTGCTGCAGGAGGGGGTGAGGCGAAGTGAGGGCAGAGAGGGGGGTGGGAGTGGCTTTTCCTGCACTCAGCTAAGTGCTGCAGGAGTGGGGTGAGGGGGGCTCTGCGTACCGGGGCCCAAGTCTGGCTCTCCTATGGTACCCCATCTTCGCCCCTTAGAAACCCTAGCGGGCTGACCCCGGCCGGTCTTCTGCAGCACGCTTTACACCCACAATAGCCCCTCTGGCTCCAAGCGTCCTCTCCTCACCCCGGGCTCTTCCAGCTGAGCCCCAGCGAAGTGCCGGGGGGGTGGTTCA